ACCTTCCCAAAGCTCTGGGCATTTACTGCAGTATTCTGAACAAATGAAAGTTCTAATATAATGTCTTTTAATAATGAAAAATTTAATGATTCTTCTTTTACATATGCATGAGTATCTAAGTGTGAATATTCCTGTACTATCTCCTTCATATTCCGGTTAATGGGGCGAAAAACCCCACAAAAGTTCCCCAGAGTGTATTTTTGCCACTGCAGCACCAATACTCAAACATAGAGTGAAAACACTTGTATTCCAGTGAACGAAGGCTAAGAGAGGTTCTCATATTCCGTAGTTGAATCTCCTCCTTAGCACGGCTCTGTCAGGCAGGTAGTTAAGGTAGATTGCTGTCATGTTTATTTTTCACCTGAGGAAACCAAGTCTCAGAGAACTAAAATGGATCATTCATTGACTCACCATTAGTGTGAAAGATGGATTGCAAGCTTGGGAATTGAGACTTTTAATCCAATGCTACTTTCTCAAAAGAAATCAAATGATATATTCTATTGGGCACATCTGCTGCAAAAGGCCTCTTTAAAGTATTAAAAATCAAACTTTGAGGACTGAAGTATGCCTGACTCAAGCCATGGTATTTTCTATAGCTTCACATGCATGTGAAAGTTGGACAATGAATAAGGAAGACCCTAGAATTGATGTATTTGAAGTGTGGTGTTGGAGAAGAATATTGAGATATTCTGAACTGTCAGAAGAACAAACAATTCTGTTTTAGACAAAGTACAGCCAGTTGCCCCTTAAAAGCCAGGATGGTGAGACTTTGCCTCTCATTCTTTAGATGTGTTATCAGAAGGGACCAGTTCCTGGAGATGGGTACCATGCTTGGTAAAGTGGAGGGCCACAGAGAGAGAGGATGTCCCCTAATGAAATAGTCTGACGGTGGCAGCTACAATGAGCTCAGACATGACAATTGTGAGGAAGGCACAGGAGTGGGCAGTGTTTCATTCTCCTGTGCACGGGGTCATCATGAGTCAGAAAGGATGAATCCTAGCCGCAGCAAGATTTCATCTTATACTTCACTTATTGAATAGCATTTAAATCCTGTCATCCTGCAGTATATGGGGGCTTATGGGGATTGGTTCCAGGACCCTCAAGGATACTCAGATCCCAGGATGCTTGCGTGCTTATATAAAATTATCTTTGCATATACACATCTTTCTGTATACTTTAAATCATCTCTGGTGGTGGTAGTGGTGTGCTGTGGAGTCGGTTCCAACTCATAATGACCCTGCATAGAGTTTCTGAGGCTGTGAATATTTACGGGAGCAGAAAGCCTCATTTTCCTCCTGTGGAACCGCTGGTATTTCTGAACTGCTGACCTTGAGATTAGCAGGTCGATTTGTAACCACTACGCTACCAGAGCTCCTTAAATCATCTCTACATTACTAATAATATCTTTTAATTGCTGCTGGAATCCTGGTGTGGCACTGTGGGTTAATGCACTGGATTGCAACGTCGGCGGTTCAAGCTCACCAGCCGCTTCCCGGAAACCCTATATAGGGTTGTTATGGGTCCAAACAGACTTGATGGCTCTCAACAACAACAATGACACATAGCAACCCAGTATAGGGTTCCGAGGTTGTTAAATCTTTGCAGGAGCAGTATACCTCATCTTTTTCCTGCAGAGCAGCTGGTGGGCTCGAACCACTGACCTTGTGGTTCACAGTCCAGTGTTTATCCTACAGAGCCCCAGTGCTCCCTTGCAATGCCTAACAATGCAAATGATGTGTAACAGTGCTGTGTGGGCCCTCTTAACCTCTGAGGGGTTGCTTTGACCACTGAATTGCTTGTTCCTGCCTCCTGATAGTTTCTACCCTGATTGGTTGAACTCCGACGTGGAGCCCATGGATACTGAGGGCCCAAGGTGTGATGGGTATGAGGTCTTCAGTGTGTCAGTCCTCAGCAGCTTACTGAGGCGAGAGACAGCTATCACGCCTCCTTTGTAGTTTTCTTCTTCTTTCTATGTTTTATTGTGAATTATGTGATAGTTTACATGGGAGAACATTAGTTTTACATTCATCCTATAGTATATCGTATCATTTCATTGCTATGGTTACAATCCCCTCCATGCATCATCAACCATCCAAAGGGTATACACTACAAGCATGCCCCCTGGTCATCAGCACACAGCCCCTGTGCCTCTCTGGGTCTAAAGTCCACAGCTGCTGGATCTCTCCACGTCATCATCTCTGCTTCCATTTCAGGCATCACTGCTTCTCTGGGTACGGTCCCGCTCTCCGCTCTTCTCCCTTGATGGTCCCAGGGACCTCTGCTCCTAGGCTGAAAAGTTAATCACTCCCTTCCCTGCTAAAAAACGTCTACCTTTACAATTCTATCCCTCACAAGCAGTCCAGATAACAATTACTCACTATTGTATCCCAAGAGATCCATCCGGATTTCATTTCATTAGCCCTGCCTAGACAGATACTACCTTCCTCTCCTTTGTCGTTTTACATGTGCTATCAACATGTGACTGGAAATATTATCTTCAGGTCTTGAACAATGACCATTTGAGGAAGAATCTCACAGCCTGAAAAACTTCATGGTTTGAAATATTCTGGTTCTGAGAGTCTTCATGATGTATGATCGGTAGGCATTCTGTGGATTTCAGGTTGCTTCAGACACTTGTCAAGAAGCCCAAGTTGGCTGAGACTTGCTATGAATTGCAGTTTGGATATTAACACATCACTCACACACATCACAAATGGGGACTCTTGAACTAGACTCAGAGAAGCAATCATAAATAGTGTTGATTCAGAGCATCCTCTGCGCCTTGCATAGCACAGTGGTCATTTTATATATGCTATGTTGTTGTTGTTACGTGCCGTTGAGTCGGTTCTGACCCATAGCGACCCTGTACAGGGTTTCTGAGGGTGTGAATCTTTACGGGAGTAGAAAGCGTCATCTTTCTCCCGCGGAGCGGCTGGTAGTTTCAAACTGCTGACCTTAAGGTTCGCAGCCCGATTCGTAACCACTACGCTACCAGAGCTCCTATATATGCTATGTAGTCTTTTTCTTTTTGTTATGTAGTCTTTTATCACTTCGGGAAGCCCACAGGTCTTGTCTAGCAATACTGAGTTTTCTCTTCAGTATTGCCACATACTCCTCTTTTGGACATCAGCAACCTAACTGGCAGCTCTGAGTATTTTTTACTAAAGAGATATGCCATGCTTGGGCATAACATCATGGGGGATAAAGCTCTCACTGTTAAGATCCAGCTGACAGTGTGGCTGATGGTAGCGTGGCTTGTGGGGAACCTGGCGAGACAGTCCCGAGTTGTATTGACTGGGATGCTTACCACAATACAAACTCCAGGCTCTAAAGCAGTACGGGGAACTTAAAGGCATAAAGGAACAGAGCACTAGAACATGAAATGCCATCCAGCCACAGATGTCTTTCTGCAAGTTACCACACTTTAATTTTGAAGAAGACTAGAGAGCTATTGAAGAATTCATTCCCTCATGGCACTGGTTCAACACACCAGGCTGTGCTGCTGAAAAGCTTCCTTATGCTGCTGTCTGTCCTGGGCTAGCTCAACAGAAAAGAAAACCAAAGACAAAACCCAGCAGGGATGATCGCACTCTCTCCTCTCCTATAAAACCAGAAAGCCAGTTGGTGGAGAGAAAAATTATCTCCCCACTGGAAAAGAAAAATGTAATGACAGAAATAAAGAGGCTTTGTCAAATCTAGCTCACTATTTTCATTGCTTAGTTTTGGTGTTTGAAAGATGGATGTTTTTTGCTGCAGCCCTTGACAGATAATGTTTTTAACAAACAATTTCACCTGAATGAGACTGTAAGGGTAAAATGGTTCACTGGAATATGTTCTGCAACTAAGTAACATGAGGGAGGGGCGGTGAAATAGAAAACCTCAAATGAAAGAATGCACGGGACTGCAAAGTCCACTTGGACTGGAGGCCTGCGGTTCAAGCTCACCAGCTAGCTGCTCCTTGGAAACCCTGTACAGGGTCGCTATGGGTCGGAACCAAGTCGATGGCATTTAACAGCAACACGATGAAATAAATCATCGTCTGGAAGACCCCAACGGGATGGCGCGATACAGTGGCTGCAATAATGCGCTCAAACACAGCAATGGTTGTAAGGGTTGCCCAGTACCAGGCTGACAACCATCTGGATGGCGTCTAAGAACAAACTCCACAAAAAGAGGCCTGGTGGCGCAGTGGGTTAAGCGTTAGGCTGTGAACCCAAAGGTCAGTAGTTGGAACCCACCAGCTCTTCCGAGGCTGGCAGCCTGCATCTGCAAGCATTTAGCGTCTCGGAACCCCCAGGAGCCAGTTGCGCTGGGTCGTTACGGGTCAGCACTGGTTTCTGACAGTGGGCTTTAAACTCCAGTACACTTGCTCTTGGGATTAATTTTAGGGTGACACCCTTCCCGGGGCCCCTGCAGGAAGCACACTGAGAAGCACTGTGTGTGCAAGCCATCGGTGACTGGGAGAAGCCACCCTCAGGGGTGTGCACGCGGGACTCGGGGACCATGGCGTGGGGGCTGCAGTCAGCCCAGGAGGATCCAGGCCGGGCTCCGCCGCACCTGGAGCAGGTTGGAGAGCAGCGCGAGCGCCACAGCCAAACAGACGCGAAGCCTCCACGCCTCTCGCGCCGCCGTCGGCCCCGAC